CTGGTCAGAAAAATAGAAATTGTAGAAAGAAGTAATAGGTTTCTCTGGCTGAGGTAGGAGTTTGGGGGTAGAAGGAAATGATAACATCTGTTTTCAAAATGTTGAATTTAAAGTGCCTTTTAAACATTTAGGTTAATAATTTCTGTAGTATAGGAGACAGATCAGGAACAGGAATATAATTTAGAAGTCTTCAGCAGTTAGAAAGTAAATGAAACCATGAAATTACAGCCATCCTTTGATATCTGCAGGGAATTGGTTCCAAGAACCCCCAGGAATACCAAAATCTGAGGATATTCAAGTCCCTGATATGAAATGTTGTAATATTTGCACATAACCTGTGCATATCTTCCCATATAATTTCAATCATTTCTAGATAATAGCTAATATAGTGTAAATGCTATGTAAATAGTTGTTATACTGTATTTTAAAATTGTGTGTGTGTGTGTGTGTGTGTGTGTATCCCCCCACCCTGGAATATTTTTGATCTGCAGTTGGTTGAATCTACAGATGCAGAACCTGTGGATACGGAGGGCTGGCTGTATGGTATTACACAGGAAGAGTTTACTGAGTGAGAAATGAGGTCAAGGATACTCTAGGTGGTCTTAGAAAAGCAGTCAGCAAAGGGTTTTGAGAAAAGAAGAAAATGTTTCTTGAGAAGATTAATTTTAAGGTAACATATTAAATGCTGCAGTGTATTTAAGGCTTTGGCATTCTTTCCAACTCATAGATTGTCCTCAGCAATAGATTAGATTACTCATCTTAACATATCATTTCTATTCAAGTCTGTAGAACTTTTTCATCTTCTTTTTTTCCTCTTTTTTTGTTTTTGTTTTTTGCATAAGTATCAATTAAGGGAAAAAAAAACAAAACCGTGTTTACAATTGATTAGGTTCCTTACAGATATACCTGGTATCTGATCAGAATAGGGAATATTTTTAAAGCAAGAAGCTAACAGTTTCTTTTCACACCTACAGTCCTTGATACATGGAAGGAAATCTGATTGTGAAGACCTCTGTTCATACAGAATACCCTTAAAGATGTAGGCTAGTCTTATTTCATACCTAAGTGATATACAAGTGTGTCAATAATTGTTAATAGTGACATTTTCCATCAACACAGGGTTCCTATGAGAATAAGATGATACAATTCCAGAGTATTTTGACAGTAGAAACTTGGATGTTAAAAATGAGGAGCTATGAGATATGTCTAATTATATCTAAGGCAACAAACAGTCCTTTTGGCAATTCCTTGAATTTAAGAATGAAAATACTGGTTACATATCTTTTAAGTTACCATTTTGGAACTACTTAAAAAATACTTGACCAGGCATGGTGGCTCACCCCTATAATCTCAGCACTTTGGGAAGCTGAGACAGGAGGATCGCTTGAACCCAGGAGTTTGAGACCAGCCTCGGCAACACAGGGAGACCCTGTCTCTACAAAAAAAAACCCAAAAAAATTAGCCAGATGTGGTGGTGTGCGCCTGTGGTCCCAAGCTACTCAGGAGGCTGATGTGGATGCATTGCTTGAGCCTAGAGGTCCATGCTGCAGTGATCTGTGATCACGCCATTGCCACGCCAGCCTGGGTGACAGAGTAAGACCTGGTCTCAAAATGAAAAACAAACTTCCTTTTCCTTCTCCTTATTGTGTGTTTGCATAAAGGTATTTATTAGACATGTGCACACATTCATGTTTCAACTCTTATTCATCTCAGGAAATCAGGACAATGTCTGGCGAATTTGAAATCATTTACTGACGTCTATCATCTAGCATGGTACAGGATGGATTTTGGAAACCATTCAGGTTTGACTGACTAGAATTCAGAAAGTCTGGATAAATTACATTCATATTTATGATGGTTCAATTTAATCAATCTCTGTTTGCACCGAAGCAAAACCACATATTGACTTTGGACCTATGCAAGGTATATAGGGCCATGGTGAGAAAGGGGAGAGGTTAAACTTGAAAATGATGATGGAAGAAATTTCAGTGACCACAGATTAATTTCCACTGCCTCAGTAAGAAATTGATCCAAGATAATTTGAGATGGGGTGTGTGAATGTTACAAAATGCACATAATAATTTCAGTGTTCTATAATTTTTACAGTAGTAAATTTGCTGTGGTTTGTACATCTTCAAGGTATATCAAGAATCTCACCACTTCTTACCATCTCTATCACTAACAATCTTGGGCCAATCCATCATTATCTCTTGCTTGTATTATTGCTGTAGTCTTTTAAATTTTACTGTATATTGGAATCACATGAAGATTTTTTAAAATACTGATGGCTGGCTCCCACCAGCAGTCATTCTGGTTTAACTGGGTTGCAATCGGGACATCAGGACTTATTTAAAAGCTTCTGGTGCTGACGAGTTGATGGGTGCAGCACACCAACATGGCACAAGTATACATATGTAACAAACCTGCACGTTATGCACATGTACCCTAGAACTTAAAGTATAATAATAATAATAATAATAATAATAATAAAAGCTTCCAGTGTTTCTAATACACACTGCCCAAATAATCAGAACACCAGTAATCTTTCCCTGAAGTAATTCCTTTTGACCGTGTTTTTCTTCTGGTAGATGTATTAATTTAATTTGGGACCTTTCCGTTTTCTAAAGTTTTAGAAATAAGTCCTAGTGTATCCATTAGGCTTCTTAGTTGTGAGCAATGAAAGCTGACTCTGGTGGATTTAAGCAGAAATAAACTTTACTGATAGGATATTGAGTGGTTTACAGAGTTGGTAGAAGGCTTGAACCTAGAAAAAGTACATGAACAAAGGGGAGGCTAAACAACTAGCACCATGGCAAAACTCATGCCAACGCGACCATTACGGCTGTGTCTGCTGAATAATGACTGGATGCTGCTGATTGCACTTCTGGGTGTGCTGGTCACTCCAGTCTACTACTGGTTCTGCTGCCTTCGGAAACTAGATACTGCTTTCACTATTGCTGTCATCAGAAAGAATTCTTTATTGTCTCTGCTCTTTGTTACTAGGCTCCACATTCAAAATTGCTGGTGGGCACATCTCTATGGGTAAGCATAGGCTGCCAGCAGGGCATGTGGAAAACCATCTACATTTTCATTTTTAATAGTGGAAAATAGGCTCTGTTTTGCACCAAAATTTATGAAGTTAGGAATTCTTCAAACACAAGCAAGGGCTTGATATGCTTGGAGCCAACAAAATGACAGAAGTCTACTACACATGGTATATCTTACAATGTGTTCTTTATTTTAGACATCAGTTCGTTGTTTGTCAGACTAACAGGCCAGAGCATACTGGTGTTTTTACATAATTATTTTTAAACCTTTAGAGACTGCTACCACTTGTCCCTTAGCAAGCAGTAAGAGATAAAATAAATGACTAAGTAGCAAGCAAATTAGTAAGAAAACTTGTACATATAGCTTCTTATGAGTACGTACTTACTATCTTTGGAGGTATAGATAACAGTGTATGTATAAAATAGCATGTTTCTAAATAATAAAAATGTTCTGAGTTTCTATGATGGAAATAGTATGTCAATATTATGTCTCAGCGCTCTTCAATTGAATTATAATGTGGGCTACAGATGTAATACATGTATGTAATTTTTAACTGCATTAAAAAGTAAGAAGAAGCCAAGTGCAATGGCTCATGCTTGTAATCCTAGCACTTTGGGAGGCTGAGGTGGAAGGATCGGTTGAGGCCAGGAGTTCAAGACTAGCCTGGGCAATATAACAAGGCCCTGTCTTTACAAAAAAACTAAAAAATTAGCATATACCTATAGTACCAGCTACTTGGAAGATGGTGGTGGAAGGATCACTTGAGCCCAGTAGTTCGAGGCTGCCATAAACCATGATTGTGGCATTGCAGTCCAGGCTGGGCAGTACAGCAAGACCCTGTCCCTAAAAAAAAGGGAAAACAAGTAAAAAGAAACACATTTGATTTTAATAATAATTTAACTTAATAATTTGAAATATTATTTCAACATGTCATCAGTATAAATATTAAGGGATAGGTTATATTCTTTTAATATTAAGTCTTCAAAACCTAGTATATATTTTACACTTAGAGCATAGCTCAATTCAGACTGGTCACATATCAAGTGCTTAATAGCCGCATGTAGCCAAATGGCTACCAAATTGGACAGTGCAGTTCTGTGGCATTCTGTAAAATACTATGTGACTTGCCAGTACTGCCCGCTAAACATACTATGGTTAATGAAGTGTTTGGTTATTCATTCTCAAAAAAGAAAGCAAAGTAGCTTTTAAAATCCAACACAGATCTGGGCATGGTGGCCCACGCCTGTAATCCCAACATTTTGGGAGGCTGAGATGGGTGGATCACTTGAGGTCAGGAGTTCAAGACCAGCCTGGCCACCATGGTGAAACCCTGTCTCTACTAAAAATACAGAAATTAGCTAGGCATGGTGGTGGGTGCCTGTAATCCCAGCTACTTGGGAGGCTGAGGCAGGGGAATGGCTTGAACTAGGGAGGCAGAGGTCGTGGTGAACCAAGATTGTGCCATTGGACTCCAGCCTGGGCAACAAGAGCAAAAAACTCCGTCAAAAATAAATAAATAAATAAATAAATAAATAAATAAATAAATAAATCCAACACAGTAGTTTTACTTGATTTTTCAGTGTTCTATAATTTTTGTGTGTGTGGTGGAGGGAGACGAGGCTTGAAATGGGGAAAAGGAGCCTAATTATTTTCAGTAGATTTTGTTTTTGTTTGTTATTTTTATTCTTGGAAAATTTAGCTTTGCAGGGGATTGAGAGTGAGGAAGGCAACATGTTGTAGTGCATGCAGAGTTTGCTTGTGAATAATCAAATTAATCATATTTTATTACATTTAACATATATGTCACTACTGGGCTTAGTATCTGATGATTTGAAAATTAAAAAGGTGGTAGGGACTGTGCTTGATATTTTGTCTATCACATATGACTTATTTTCCATAGATAATTCATTTTGGCAGTAAATTTTGTGTTCTAATTATTTTTATTCTTGCAGGCTGCTGAATCAGGAATAATAAAAGTTAAAACAATTGCTGCACGAAACACCGAAATTTTGGCAGGTAATTTTATGTATTAAAAATTTAATAATAAACAAAAATTTGGCTAATAGTAAAAGTAGAATCTTTATTATAAAAGCCATCAGTTTTCTGTAATATCTCTTCCTTATGACCTAACATATGCTATTCATAATGATACAGAATGGGCAAAAGTCCATAACTTATGAACTGATTGTGTTTCCCAGAGATGAATGCTATAAAATTCTCTGAAATCAGAAACCTTAACACTACTAACTCCTTAAAGGCAAGAAATTTTTTTCTTACTCATCTTTGCATTCTCCTCCACTTCTTGCTAATCACCTGAGACACACCATAAAAAGCATTCAGTAATATTTGTTCCATTGAATTGAATGAAAGATTGGTTCTCAGTCCACCTTCTGTGTTGTACTTTCTCTTTAATATAATACAAACAATTCATAACGTAGTCTTCTGTATTTAGTTTACCATATGAATTTTGAGTCTTGGGACTAAGGCAATATGATCATGAAAAAAGAATGAGCGTGAAGTAGAGAAAAGAAAACAAAACTATTTTCTTACCTTCTCTTGATTGAACCCGGTTTTCAAGGAGGAATTTTCAGGAGTTTCTCTTTGGCATCCTTCTTTTCTACACAGTCCACTCCTTTCTCTTCCTTGGTGCCTTTTGTTCTTGCCTCAGTAATGAACATGGAAAAGAGGTAAACTGACTTTTTTTTGTTGTTTTTTTTTTTTTTGAGTCTATTATATGCAAGGCACTTGTGTTATTCTATCTTACATAACAACCTTGTGGGGAAATATTGTCTTATTTGATAGTAGAGCAAATTGAGATGTGAAGAGGTTAAGTTACTTGCCCAAGGTCACCGGAAAAGTGGTGGAACCAGATTAAAATCCAGGAGTGTTCAGAAGCCCATGGTCTTCCTGCTACAGTGTGCTACCATGGTATCACCAGGTTTCCACGTTAGCTACTTACTCTCAAGTATTCCATACGTAACCAGTGCTTGCTTCAGTGATCCTTTAATCTGCATTTCCAGTTCCAGTAGTGCTGTTGATCTCAGCTAATCTATGAGGAAAGTAGTCCTATTAAATTAATTTATACAAAGTCCCAATAGTAAATAATCTCTTTAACTTTCATATATTTTACATTTTTTAAAAGGGATACCAGTAAGTCTATAACTGGTGGGATTTCAGAGTGTTATGAAATGAAATGAAGATTTTTGGGGGCAGATTAAGGATCGGGGGGCAAGAGTGGATTTCGCTTAGGCTATCCAGCTTTGCTGGAAATTTCCCCTTCGGGTAAGCTCTCCTCAGTTACATCTGTTTCCCACAGCTTTTTCCCTGATTTTGAACAGTCTATCAAAACACCAAATAGTTTTATAACATTATGCACAGAAGTGAATAATGCTCTGTGTGCATTTTGAGAAGGGGTATAGTGAAAGTGGTGGGTAAAGGCAGAGGTGCACATCGTTGGGTTAGGAAGGTTGGCAAGTGGGTTTTTTTGGTTTGTTTTTCTGTTTGTTTTTCTTGAGACTTTTCTTCAGTTTTGATCATGTCGCCCCTGCTGGAGTGCAATGGTATGATCTCAGCTTACTGCAACCTCTGCCTTCTGGGTTCAAGCAATTCTCCTGCCTCAGCCTCCTGAATAGCTGAGATTTCAGGTGCCCACCACCACATCTGGCTAATTTTTGTATTTTTAGTAGAGACAGGGTTTCCTCATGTTGACCAGGCTGGTCTCGAACTCCTGACCTCACGGTCTTCCTGTCTCGGCCTCTCAAAGTGTTGGGATTACAGGCGTGAGCCACTGCGCCCGGCCAGCATGTGGGTTTTAATGGGAGACGTAGGCAGTTAGGCAGATAAGCGACTGTGGGGAAATTGATGTTTAAAGATAAATGATGACCTGGATATTTTTATGTTGGAGACTTACCATAGGCCAATCATATTCGAATATCACTGTAAATATTTGAAATATTTACTGTTGCTAATATCATTGTTGATATCGTGGTAAGTCCTTAATTATTCTCCAATAATACAAATTTTCATTGGTTTTATAGTTTGTGAAAGACTTTTTTAAAAAAAATGACTGATTTCCTCAGAAGATCACTGTTATTCCAGCATTCTATCCCACGTAAAATGTCTAATTAATTACTCTTAAGATGAGTAAGAAAAATTTTGACTTAGTTGGTATGATTTAAATATATAGGCAGCTTTTAATTTCATTTTAATTCAATTAGCATTATTCAAATCAAGTTAGAACAGAGCTGTATGCAAATACAATTAATAGTCATGCTTTGATCTTCATAGTATCCAGAGCTATATACTTGAGGAGGTATATTCGCACTTAAACTTTATCCTAGTATTTTTTATGAAGTATTTAAAATAATACCTAAAAGTTACAGATTAATAGACCACTGTCATCCTGAAAATCAGAGGCTCTTCAAAACAGAGTTTAAATTAGTCAGTATATAGTTTCTAAACTATATAATTAAGACTACAGTTAATACTGAGAAAAAATTTTAGTTAACTTTTTAAAATTTCCTGAGAAGTATTTACTTCTTTATGGTACTTGAGACTATAGGAGACTATACAACTTTTGTGCTTTAATGTATGTCAAAAATACCAAACAATTGAGGAGTCTCAAATGAGATTGGATATTGAAATCTCATATGTCTCTGCATATTCAGAATATATAAAGATTTGTTGTAAGAATGATAACTTTTAATTTGGATCAAGTAGTTTAATTAATGATACTTGGCATAGATTGCTAGTCAACTTTAGTTTTCTTAGATTTATTTTCCAAGGGAATATTATTATTTCAGAATAAGTCTTTGCTTTACATCTCCCCTTCTTTTAAGCATCCTCCTTTAATGTTTATTTTTCTTTGTTTTCACTGCTGTCATGAATGCTGACATAAGTGGGAATGCTATGCCAGGTAATGTCAGCATTGATTCAGATGTACAGATCATTATCTCAAAATTTCCATTTTCTTTAAAGATAAAACTTTGAAAATGAGAGATAGCAACATAAAGTTTTCATTTACAAGGCCAAATGCCTTAATCTTACATTTAATATTATATGAATATTATATATTACAAATTGTGTTTATTATCCTAGCTTATAGTATACTAAAAATTCAGAAATTATTTGTTATACAAAAATTACATAATCTGCTTTTTAAATAAATATTTGTAACAAGGCAATCAATGAAGTTGTGGTATATTTTAACATTGTATATTTAGCCCCTACCCCAAGCCATAGTGGTTACATCTACCTGTGGCTGCTTTCAGCTGCTGTCAGTATACATAAAGAATTTTTACATAATCAGTTGGTGTGACTTTTGTTCTTTTTTCACGTGTTGTTCCCTCATCTTCTTTTTAAAGAGCTCATAGCTAAAAGGTCTTTAAGTAGCAATGAGTAAATATACTTTGGAATTTTTTTCTGATTTTAAAAGGTAATTTATTTGCTTTTAAAATTTAATACATTTATCTAGATGTGTATAAGAGAAATGAGTAAATATACTTTGGAATTTTTTTCTGATTTTAAAAGGTAATTTATTTGCTTTTAAAATTTAATACATTTATATTTATATATTTAATATATTTATATACTATATATGGGAATAAATCTGAGCATCCTATTTCAGTCCATTATTGGTTTATGAGTCCATATCACACTATCTTAATGACTACACTTTTTTTATTTTTGAGACGGAGTCTCGCTCTGTTGCCCAGGCTGGAGTGCAGTGGTCCGATCTCGGCTCACTGCAAGCGCCGCCTCCCGGGTTTACGCCATTCTCCTGCCTCAGTCTCCCGAGTAGCTGGGACTACAGGTGCCCGCC